AAATGAAGGAACATTATATAAAATATATAAGGCAACTATTAACACATCTAAAAACAGAGATTGGTGGCAAAAAAATAATAGTAGGGCATTTCAACACTCTATTTTTATCAATAGACTGATCAACCAGGCAGAAAATTAAAGAAAAAATATCTTAAATAATGTTTTGGAACAGATGGACCTAGTACACATTTATAAGGCACTGCACCCCCAAAATCTGAGGACATATTCTTCTCAAGTTCATATAGATAATTCCTGAGGAAGACCACATGTTGGGCCACAAAACAAGTGTCATGAAATTCATGATTACAATTACAACAAGTATCCTCTTTGGCCATAATAGTGTCAAAATAGAAATCAGTCACAAAAAGAAACTGTGGACACTGAATAATATACTACTGAATGAGTATTAGGCTAACAAGGAAATCAAAGATAAAATTAAAATCCCTGGAGACAAACCACATTGATGATAGAACAATTAGAACCTATTGAATACAGCAAAAGCAGTACTAAGATGGACATTTATACAGGCCCACATCAAGACACAAGAAAGAGTTGATATAAACAATATAATCTTACATCTTAAAAAACTAAAAAAGAACAACAGTGAAAGAAGGTAGTAAAAATTATAGTTAAAATAAATGGAATAGAACACAAAATGACAGTTTAAAGACGAATGAAACCAAACCTGATTCATTAAAAATATTAAGCATAGTAGACAAATGTAAAGGGACTCATTTAGAATAAATGGGAGAAAATTAACAAATAGAATCAGAAACGGAAAAGAAATTATAACAAATATCTCAGAAATATAGAACATCCAAGAAACACAGAATATGAACATTCTGTTCAATATGCACAAAAACTGGATAATCAAGAGGAGTGAACAAATACTTAGACTCATAGAACCATCCAAGACTGAAGTAGGAAACTTGAAAATTACCAATTACATAAAAGAAATTGAAATAGTAATAAAAAATCTTCCCCCCTAAGAACAAAAATCCTAGACCAGAGGATTCTACTAGCTAGTTGTATCAAATCTTCAAAGACGGACTAATAACTCTCCTTCTCAAACTGTTCCAAAAAATGAGTAGGACAGAATATTTCCAAGCACATTTTCTGAAGCCATATTACTCTGACTCCAAGAAGACAAGGACATCACAAGTAAAGAAAAGTACAGGCCAATATCCCTGATGAACATAGATATAAAAGTTAGCAAATTGATTCAATAATACCTTAAAAGACCGTACATGTCTTACATGTAATTAGTGAGATTTATTCTGGGGATACCGGATACTTTAACACACCAAATCAATGAGCGTCATTCACCACATCAAAAAGAGGAAAGGGCCTCCCCTGGTGGCTCAGCAGTTGAGCGCTGGGCTGGGAAGCTGCCCGCAGCCTCTGCAGCACCGGTTCAATCCCTGGTCCCACATGGCACGCAGACCTCTCCTGCCACACCCACTGCTCCCCTCAGCAGTGTATTTTGTCAGTCTGCCTGTTCTGCTTCCTGCTCTGTCTCTGGTGAATTCTCTCACCCTCCTGCGCTTCTGACTGTACCCAGTGCTTGTATAAATAAATAAATAAATCTTTAAAAAAAAAAAAAAAAGGAAAGATAAAAGCCATGTGGTCATATCAAGATATGCAGAGAAAGCCCTTGACAAGATTCGACATCCATTTATGATAAAAACTTTTTTAAATGGGGTTAGAAAGACTGTACCTAACTTAATGAAGATCATTATGACAAATAGCATCATTTACAATGGTGAAAAACTGAAGTCTTTCGTCTAGGATTGGGTACAAGATACGGACATCCACTTCCATCACTACTATGAAACATAGTATTGGAAGTCTGCTAGAGCAATCAGGTAAGAGAAAGATATAAAAGGAATCCAGACTGGGGAAGAAGAAATAAAAGGTATTTCTTGCTCACAGTTTAGAAGAATTAATATGTAGTTAAAATGGCCATCCTACCCAAAGCAATATAAAGACTCAATGCAATACCTATTAAAGTTTCAGTGGTATTCTACAAAGAAGTAGAATAAATATTACTGAAATTCATATGAAACCACAGAAACCCTTAATAGTCAAGCAACCATGACAAAAAAATAACAGAGATATCACCCTACAAGCATCAAACTACTACAAGCTGTTGTAACCAAAATATTATGGTAATGCAATAAAAATTAGATTAGAATTAAGAGACCAGAAATAAACCCACATTAATATAGATGGTTAATCTATGACAAATGAGCCAAGAGTATACAATGGAGAAGGAAAATCTCTTCAACAAATGTTGTTGGGAAACACAGGCAATCATATGCAAAAGAATGAAGTAGACCATTATCTTTTTTTATGCCCCCAAATTAAATCAAAATGGATTAAAGACTTGTATATAAGACCTGGAACCATAAAAAAAATTGCAAAATAGAAGATATACAAAACTCTCCATGATACAGTCTTCAGTGAAGTCTTTGAGGGCTTCAATTTCACAGCCAAGAGAAACAAAAATAAAAAGAAACAGATGGAACTACATTACTCTGCACAGTGAAAGACGCTATCATTGAAACCAAAAGACACTCTACTGAATGGGAGAAAATATTTGTACATTCCATATTTGACAAAGGGATAATATCTCATATCTACAAAGAACTCATACAAATCAATAAAAGAAAACAAATAATCCAATTAAAAATGGCACAAGAGCTGTATAAACACTTCTTCAAAGAAGACATATAGGTGACTAAAAGGCATATGAAAAAACACTCATTATCACCTTTTGCCAGGAAGCTACAAATCAAAAGCCACAGTGAGATATGCCATATCATGTGAGAATGACCAATATCAAAAAGTCAAGAAACAAGTATTGACAATAATATGAAGAAAAAGGAACAATCTGTTCCTTTAGTTGGGTATATAAACTGGCTCGGTTTTACAGAAAACAGTAGAGGGTTTTCTCAAAATATTAAAAATAGATCTACCATATGATCCAACAATCCCAGCTCTTAGCTATCTATACAAAGAATGCAATTACACTAAATATTTACACCCCTATGTTCATTGCAGCCCTATTTACGATAACCAAGTTATAGAAACAATCTAAGTGCCCAAGTACAGATGAGTGGACTGAGAAGGTGTGGTATTTACACACTATATACACTACTCAACTATTAAAAAAATGAAAAGGATGATATTACAGCATTTGCTGCAACAGGGATGTCACTTGAAGGTATTTTTATTAAGTGAAATAAATCAGAAGTAGAAAGACAATACCAGATGATTTCCCTCATATGCAGAATATAGCAAAGGAACAGAAAAAACTAAACCAAATAAAACCCTAGAAATATGACTATAGAGTTGAGGCTACCCATGAGGACACCTGTGAAAGGGAGGGGGCCCAATGGACTGTGGTGCAGGATTACGGGTGATATGGTAACATACATCTGAAGAGGTATAAACCTGTATCTCTGAATCGTATATAGTGTGTGTACCAATGTACCTCAATTGAGGGGAAAAATACAATAAGGAAGGAGGGGAGGAAGGAAACAAGGAAAGAAGGAAGGGAGGGAAGCGGGGAGAAAGGGAGGGAGAGAGGGAGGGAGGGAGGGAATGAAGGAAGAAGGGTCAGTGCCAGGGGCTGAAAACAAGAGGGGGTGGGTAGCTAGTATTAATGGGGAAATAATTTCAGTTTGTAGTAATGAGGAAGTATTAGAGATGGATAGTGGTGATGGTTGCACAATAAGTTGACTATATTTAATACCACTATATTGCACACTTAAAATTTTAAGTGGTAAGCTTTAAAGTTTATTTTAACTGCAATACAACAAATTTTTTAAAAATAACAAAAATCAGAAAATGATCAACTCATAAGACACGGAGAAACCTTAAGCACATCATGGTAAGTGAAAGAAACCAGTCTTTAAAAGCTACTTTGTATGGTTCTAACAATATGATGGTCAGAAGAAGACAAAACTATGGGATATTAAAAATAATCAGTGGGTGTCAGGGATTTTCATTTTAGGGAGGAGGAATGATTAGATGGAGTTCAAGGGATTTTCAGGGAGGTGAGAGTAGCCTGCATGATACCATAATGGTGTATATATCATTCTACATTTGTAAAAACCCTTAGAATGTAAAACACAAAGACTGAACCCTAATATAAACCATGGATTATGGTTACTAATAATGTATTAACACTGATTTATCAATTTTAACAAATTTACCATACTAACACAAAAATTAATAATAGGATAAACTGAAGGAAGGTGAGCTGGAATATGGGAACTTATCTCTCAGCTTTTCAGTAAATGCAAACTACTCAAAAATAGTCTATTAATTTAAAAATACCCTATGATACAATTTAACAATCCTATTCTTGGGTGTTTATCCCAGTGAAATGAAAACTGAAGTCCACACAAACACCTATCCACAAATATTCATGGCACCCTTATTTATATAAAAAAAATGAAAACAACCTAAATATCCATTAATGGGTGAAGCAATTTCTGATTGTTTAAAAAGTAATCCATATTCTGGAACACTAATTAGCAATAAAAAGAACAAAGTATTGAAACACACAACTTGGAAGCATTCTAGGGGCACCAGGCTTAGTGAAAAAGCCAATCTCAAAAGATCATATATGGTCTTAATCTATTTATGTAATAGTATTGAAATGAAAATATATATGGAAATGGAAAACAGATTAGTGGTTGACAGGGATTGAGATGGTTGCAGGAAGGGATGACAGTGGGTGTGACTACAAAGGGGCAGCAAAGGGAGACTACTGTGGCAATGGAATAGTTGTACATCTTGATGTGCTTGCTAGCTGCATGAATCTAAAGATGTGGAAAATCATATTTAACTATACACACAAAACATAGGATGCTGTCTTCTAAATGACATGTTTTTGTAAAAAATTTTTCTACCTTGATACTGTTTATAAAGTCCAGAATGGTTCTATAAGACAACTTATAGATAGGAGTTATCTGAACTAAGCAACTTACCTGATGCCTGCAGCTCCCAGGTGGCCTCCTGGTAATGAAACTGAGAGCTAAAGCGGCATCCGTACTGGCCAGTGTCCAAGGCAGTGACATTCTTCAACCTTAGGGAGACTTGGCCATAGTCCATGGAGTCCTTTACCAACTCTGTTCTCCCTCGAAAGTCTGGCAGCTGCATATCATCCTGGTCTTGCCCATCCCTATAGAGATGGACCACAGAGGAGAACTGATTCCTGAAGAAACGCACTTCCATGGCCTCTGCACTTGTCTCAGGAGATAGAAAGCAGGAGAACACTGTGTCCTCCCCCACCAAGACCTTGACGGACTTGTCTGGCCCAATCACCTGCCACTGGCCTGTGGGAGGAAACACAACAGATAAATGCACAGAAACCATTTTGTTGTCTCCCACTCAGGGCAAGAGTGGGCTGGTGATATCCATGGGACTGGAATTTTTTTTTTTAATTTTAAATAATAAATTTTATTTTTATATTCCCCATACAATTGCAAACCCCCCATTCTGATCCCAATCCCTCTCCTTCCGCCCCCCATCCCCCCAAAAGTGTCTCTGTTTCATAGTTTTTTGTTGATTCTGATTTTCACTTTCTTATAGTTATTCATTTTCCTGGTCCCTTATTTAAGTTTTCTAGATTCCTGCTATGAGTGAGACCATCCGGTATTTTTCTTTTTCTTTTTGGCTTATTTTGCTGAGCATGATCCCTTCCAGCGCCATCCATGTTGCTGCAAATTGCATGTGTTTATCTTTTTTGAATGCTGAGTAATATTCCATGGTATATATGTACCACATCTTCCTGATCCAGTCATCTATTTTTGGGCATTTGGGCTGTTTCCAAAGCTTAGCTATTGTAAATAGTGCTGCTATAAACATAGGGGTGCAGGTGTTCTTTGGAATTGATGTTTCTGTGTCCTTTGGGTAAATACCTAGGAGTGGAATTGCTGGATCATATGGAAGCTCTATGTTTAGTAGGTCCAGAAATCTCCACACAGCTCTTCACAGTGGTTGGACCAGTTTGCACTCCCACCAACAGTGCAGAAGAGTTCCTTTTTCTCCACACCCTCGCCAACATTTGTTGTTGCTAGTTTTTTTTAATATGTGCCATTCTCACTGGTGTAAGATGGTATCTCATGGTAGTTTTGATTTGCATTTCCCTGATGACAAGTGATGTTGAACATTTTTTCACATGCCTGTTGGCCATTTGCATTTCCTCTTCAGAGAAGTTTCTTTTTAGCTCTTCTGCCCATTTTTTGACTGGATTATTTTCTTTGTTGTTGTTGAGTCTCATCAGCTCTTTGCAGATTTTTGTGATCAGTCCTTTATCATTAGTGTTGGGTGCAAAAATGTTCTCCCAGTTGGTGGGGTTTCTCTTTGTTTTGGTTATTGTCTCTTTTGCTGTGCAGAAGCTCTTTAATTTGATGTAGTCCCAGCTGTTTATCTTTGCCTTCACTATCACTGCTTTAGGTGATGTGTCTGTAAAAATGTCTTTGATGTGCAAATCACGTAGTGTTTCGCCTATATTTCCTTCTATATATTTTATGGTTTCAGGTCTTATGCCTAGTTCTTTAATCCATTTGGAGTTGATTTTTGTGTATGGTGTGAGGTAGTGGTCAAGCTTCATTCTTTTGCATGTAGCGACCCAGTTTTCCCAGCACCATTTATTGAACAAACTTTCTTTGCTCCAATGCATAGTCTTTTCTCCTTTGTCAAAGATTAGTTGAACCATAAATCTGTGGGTTTATTTCTGGATTTTCTATTCGATTCCATTGGTCTGTATGTCTGTTCTTGTTCCAATACCATGCAGTTTTGATGATTATGGCTTTGTAGTATAGTTTGAAGTCTGGGAGTGTGATGCCTCCATTCCCTTCTTTTTTTTTCAGGAGAGCTTTGGCTATTCAGGGTTTTTTTGTGATTCCATATGAATTTCATCAATAATTGTTCTATTTCTTTGAAGAATGACATTGAAAATTTGATTGGAATAGCATTGAATCTGTATATTGCTTTTGGAAGGATGGCCATTTTAATAATGTTTATTCTTCCAATCCATGAGCAGGGGATGTCTTTCCATTTCTTTGTGTCTTCTTCTATTTCTTTTAACAGTATTTTATAGTTTTCTTTGTATAGGTCCTTTACCACTTTTGTTAGATTTATTCCCAAATATTTGATTTTTTTTGTTTCAATAAAAAAAGGGATGGTTTTTTGGTAGGGAATAGAAGAACCACACGCAACCTAGCAACTCCCCAGGGAAAAAGCACACCACAAAAAGAAAACCAGCCCCCAGATTGCAACGACAGTAACTTGGAAGAACTTCTGAGCCTTCCAGAAAGAGAATTTAAAATTGCCGTGATTAAAAAACTAACAGAAGTCATAAAGGAGAACAATGATAAGGGAAAAATAATCAACGATCAGAAGAATGAAATTGAGTCCCTAAAGAGGGAAAACAATGGTCAGAAGAATGAAATTGAGTCCCTAAAGAGGGAAGTAAAAGAAATGCAGGAGATCAAAGAATTAATGGAAGAACTAAAGAATTCTGGGAAAAGCAATGAAAGCAGAATAGATGAAATGGAAGAACGAATAAGTACTCTTGAAGACACAGAAATAAAAAGAACCAAAACAGAAAAGGAAAGAGAAGTACGAAGGAAAAAGAACGAAGAAAGACTTCGGGAATTATCTGACTCCATGAGGAAAGGAAATATAAGAGTTATAGGAATACCAGAAGGAGAGGAGAGAGATGTAGGAACAGAGAAAATATTCAAAGAGATAATTGAAGAGAACTTCCCAAATGTGAAGAAGGAGCTGAAAATTGATATACAAGAAGCAAGAAGAACACCAAACTTCCACGATGAAAGGAAAAATACAGCAAGACACATAATAGTAAAGCTCCCAAGAATCCAGGACAAGGAAAAAATAATGAAGCTGGCAAGAGGGAAGAAACAGATAACATTCAAAGGAAAGCCAATCAGGCTGACATCAGACTTCTCCAAAGAAACACTACGGGCAAGGAGAGAGTGGAGGGACATAGTCAACAGACTCCAAGAAAACAGATGCCAACCAAGAATACTCTATCCTGCAAAGCTCTCCTTCCTCTTTGAAGAAAGAATATGGACCTTCCCAGACAAACAGAAACTCCGGAATTTCATTACAACTAAACCCCCACTCCAAAAAATACTACAAGGAGTTCTAAAGCCAGAACCTCAGAGGGACGAATAACAATGAAAGAAGGCCAAAAAAAAAAGTTATTAAAAGAATAAATAAATAAAATCAAAGGAAAGACAAACACAATGGCCAATACAGATGCTAACATATCAATATTAACTCTAAATGTAAATGGACTAAACTCTTCAATAAAAAGACACAGAGTTGCAGCCTGGATTAAGAAACAAAACCCAACCTTTTGCTGTCTCCAGGAAACACATTTAGCTACAAAAGATAAAAATAGGCTCAAAGTTAAAGGATGGAAAACAATCCTACAAGCAAATGGACCAAAAAAGAAAGCAGGAACAGCTATACTTATATCAGATAAAACAGATTTCAAACTCAAAAAGATAAAAAGAGACCCCAATGGTCACTACATTATGATCAAGGGGACAATACTTCAAGAAGAAATAACACTCATTAACATATACTCACCAAACGAAGGAGCACCAAAATATATCAGACAACTGTTGTCCTCTCTGAAAACAGACATCAGAGAAAACACATACGTAGTGGGAGACTTCAACACACCACTATCAACAATGGATAGATCAACAAGACAAAAAATAAGTAAAGAAACCAAAGCTATAAATAAGGACCTAGAGCAATTGGGCTTAACAGACATCTATAGAGCACTAAACCCCAAAAAAACGGAGTACATATTTTTCTCAAGGGACTGGAATTTTTATTAAGTTCTTTCTAAATCCAGATCATTCTCTTACACTTTCCAGAACACTTCCACATAGGTTACTTTATTCAGTCCTCACAAACATCCTGACATATGCTCTAATATTTCCATTTTCAAGAGAAACTAATGTCATAGAGACTAAATATGTTATACAGAGGAAGGAAAGGCAATTTCCAAATGCAGCCCCCATGAGTAGAGGAGGCCCTGTACCCACGTTCTCTCCTCTGCCCATGTGCTTCACTGAACGCTCACACCAGCCTCTTATCCATCCTCAAAAGCCACCCCTTTTCCAATGACCCATGAGGGGAATTTGGGATGATAAAATCTCCAGTTTGAGGTAATTTTTAAAGGTTTCTTTCAAGTACATGACAATGCTTTGCAAGCATTTTCTGTATACTATATAGGGTTATGTAGTCTCTATCTATAGACAACATTTATTTATAGTTGTTTTTTAAATCTACTTATCCTGCCAAATTCTGAAAGACATGCTGTTACATTGTGAAATGGAGATTTTTCAGTTTTTATCTGAGTATTTACTCTGGTACATTCCTGCTGTGATTTAGCCTTTGCATAGAGTGTAGCTTTTTTTTTTTTTTTAAGATTTATTTATTTATACAAGCACTGGGTACAGTCAGAAGTGCGGGAGGGTGAGAGAATTCACCAGAGCCAGAGTGGGGAGCAGAGCAGGCAGAAGGACCAAAGTACACTGCTGAGGGGAGCAGCGGGCGGCAGGAGAGGTCTGCGCGCCATGTGGGACCCTCCTCTGGTGGCCGGGAAGCAGCTGGGGATCGAACCAGCGCTGCAGAGGCTGAGGGCAGCTTCGCAACCCAGCGCTCAACCCGCTGTGCCACCAGGGAGGCCCTAGAGTGTAGCTTTTACATTTGCATAATAATTTTCTTTTTCCCACTTTGCAAATTTTCCTTAGATAATGCTTCCTCTAAAACATATCACACCGCTAAGGACTAAATTGTGCAATCCGAAAGTTAGGTTATCCCAGTTCTCAACGTGATGGTATCTGGGAAGGTTAGATGAAGGTGGACCCTAATGTGACTGGTGTTTCCTACCAAAGAGGTCTCCCTCCACTCTGCTCTCCTCTCTTTTCCTTGCCTTCCTCCCCTCTCATATCTCCAGTGCACACAGAGGGGAGACCATGTGAGGAAACAGAAAATGTAGACACCTACATACTAGGAAGAGAACCCCTAACAGAAAGAAATTATCCAGCATCAGGACTTACAGCTTGCAGAACTCTAAGAAATTAAATTTTTGTTGATATTTTGTATCACAGTCTAAGCTTTACAATATACTCACCTTTTTTTCAGTTTTATTCCCATCTTTGTTTTGAAACTTTCTTCAATAATACTTAAATAATGATAATTATTTGTATTCTATGAATCTTTCCTGCACAACTCTTGCTACCTGGAGACAAGACTTATCTGTCTTGCTTAGCATGGTACCCTGAGTCTAACACAGTGCCAGGCACAGAGCATTTGCCCTACGAATAATATGGTTATACATATGAATGGTGAGCACATTTCCTTTCCAAGTTCCCTATCTGTGTAATGATCATTTCATTAACTATCCTGGTAAATAACAGTTATCACTCTGTAATGGTTATATTTTATCTTAAAGATACCACAAACTTTGGAGGCCCATACGCACTTCTATATATACACTCCCTTTGATTGGAAATGTCTAGTAATTAATTTGCATGCATTCATTTATAATATGTGCATATAGATGAGGGGAGGGTGCTGGTGCATTGGAGTAAAGATGTGTCCCCTGTGTAAATTTCCAAATAAATGAATTCTTTTTTTTTAAAGATTTATTTTTTATTTATACAAGTGCTGGGGTATAGGCCAGATGCGCAGGAGGGTGAGAGGATTCACCAGAGACAGAGCGGGGGACAGAACAGGCAGACTGCCGAAACACACCGTTGAGGGGAGCAGCAGGCAAGACAGGAGAGGTCTGCCGCGCCATGTGGGATTCTTGCCGGCTGGCCGGGATCAAACCCATGCTACAGAGGATGCGGACAGCTTCACAGTGCGGCGCTCAACCGCCTGTGCCACCAGGGAGGCCCAAATAAATTAATTCTTATACCCCCTTTTCTCTGACTATAAATGTCATTTAGTTTTTTTTTTTGAAATGTATTTCATTCATACATTTCCAAGGAGACTTATTAAATGGAACGTGGCTTTGAAGCATGATAGTTCTGACAAGCTACTGATATAGACTAGCAGATGCTGAGTCCTGTCCCCCATCCCCCCAGTTTAGTTCCCCACAGTGGAATGGAAATGTCCCCTGACAGCTGACAGCTGACATCTCCTGAGCTGTCACTGGCCACTCCACTGGGGAGTCTGATCTTTGCCTTCCTCTTCTACTCCTTTGAACCTGCTCAGCCCTGGGTCAGGGAAATATCCAGAATATGCCACACTCCAACTTATTCCTCCCTTAAATATCTGGGCAATTTCACCACTTTCAGGTCACATAACACGAATGTTTCCAGTTTTGCACACACACAGCCAGGGACATTGTCTTTTCCCTAAATGTTCTAAATGATATCTCCCTCTAGGTAGACATCTAAATCAGAAACATGAGTGTTCTACTCCAGACCTCCCCTGCCTAAACCCCACAACCTGTCTCAGACAAACATTTAATTTAGTCATGTTAACATCCCTGGTGTGTCCCTTCCCCAACACTGTGTCCTTTCTTCATCACTTGTTCCCATTATTTCTGGGCTACTGTAATAGATTTCATAGTGCCCAAGTCCTTGATGTTTCCCTGTGTCTCCCACAATCTCTGATATAGTTAGATATCAGAAAAGGCCAAGAGACACTGGAAGAACTCAACCAAGAAAGGTATCCCTATCTCACTCTGCTGCAACCATTATAACTAAAGAACTCAAAGTGTAAATCCATAAAAAGGGGACAAAGAATGTTTTGGAACATGGTAGAGTTGGTAGTTGTATAACATTGTGAATAAAATAATGCCACTGAATTGTTAACTTTATGGAATATCAATTTTACCTCAATAAAAATAAATAGGAAATAATACTGAGTGCTGGGTTGCGAAGCTGCCCGCAGCCTCTGCAGCGCCGGTTCGATCCCTGGCTGCTCCCCGGCCACCAGAGGAGGGTCCCACATGGCGCGCAGACCTCTCCTGCCGCCCGCTGCTCCCCTCAGCAATGTACTTTGGTCCTTCTGCCTGCTCCGCTCCCCGCTCTGGCTCTGGTGAATTCTCTCACCCTCCCGCACTTCTCACTGTACCCAGTACTTGTATAATTAAATAAATGAATGGATAAATAAATAAATAAATAAATCTTTAAAAGAAATAATAATACTGGCATCCTTTATTAGCAAAGTTGTTGAAACTATTTTGGGTCTTGGCCAAAGGCAACATATATAACAAGAAAATTTTCAGAAATTACAAGCAGCAAATGACTACCACTGCATTATAAAAAAATTCCTTTTATTTCACTGTGGAAAATATATAAAGAAATATCTTGGTGGATAAACAACCAGTGATTATATAAACAATCTTCACTTTAGTTTTTGTGGACATGTTCTTACAAAACTTTTGATTGGACATAATCATTTTTCTTGGTTCAAAAATCTCACTGTAGTAATAGTAAAGCAATAAAGAACAAGAGAGGAGACATTATCAGATGAGATATTTCAATGAAATTTTAGAAGCTAGAAAGAATAGGTTCACATCTTTGCTCAAATATCTCCCTTCATTGAGCTCTATCCTTGTCAAACTATTTTAAATTTCACCCACACTCTGTCTACTACTGCCATTATATTATATCCCACTATATTATATTCAATACTTTTGTCCATAGAAATTTCCACAAGATGACTTACCTGACCCCAGTGTGAAGAGACTGAGAACCAGTGTGAACACAAAGGCCATGGATGTGCCCTGTGGGTCAATGTCAGTCTACAGAAACAGATGACATCAGGGAAAGGAGGATGGATTCATCAGAGAGAAGAGGACTCAAGCAAAATGTCTCAGCTGCAGAGATCATAGGAAAACTCAATATGAGCTAATGGCAAGCTGCACTGTTCTTTTTCTTAGAGTCTTTCTGAGAGAGACGTGGCTGTGTGTTAGGAGAATGGAGACTCGGGACTTTGAACCACTGCGTTTATGGCCAGGTCATAAACATACACCTCAGACCAAGGAAGCAGAGGTAGAAAGAAGGTGGGGTAGACAAAGCTAGGACTTTGCCCTGTTTCATGACTGTGCCCAGGTGAAAATGGGCATGTCAGAGGCAGGGATATTTTCAGGTTTGGTTGGGGCAGACAGAGCTGTATAAGGATGTGGAGCTGGGAGGGAGATCTAGTCATAAAAGAGAGTTCATCCCAGCACAGGGTAATAATTTAAATAGGCAATATTCCATGAAGATTAACTAAAAGGAGATGAGAGCTATATTTCGAGCACAACCTCACGTAATCCCTTTCTTTGACTTTAGTTCAGGCCCAGGTTTCTAATAATAAGACCAGATGGGGAAGTAACTTGTTAAAACAAGACAATACCTTGGTCTCCAATGATCCAAGGTATTGAGAAAAGTACTAGAGCAATGGGTCAGACATGAGGGAAAGGCAAAGAACCATCATTCATTCATTCATTCATTCATTCACTCAACAGAGACTAAATGACTGCTTACTAAATCAGAAAGCAAGTTTCCAAAGAGATCACCACAAAGAGCACATTCTCTAGCCATAATACAATTAATGTGAAAATCATTTTAAAAGTAGGAAGTCTTATACACTAAGAGATTATCAATAACACAGTTTTGAATAAGTCATCAGTGAGAGAGAAATCACAATAGGCCTCCCCCATGGCACAGCGGGTTGAGCACAGTGCTGTGAAGATGTCCACAGTGCAGGCTTGATTCCCTGCTAGCCAGGGAGATACCCACATGGCACAGCAGACCTCTCCTGTCTCGCTCACTGCACCCCTTAGCAGTGTTTTCGGTCCATCTACCTGTTCTGCTCCCCGCTCTGTCTCTGATGAATTCTCTCACCCTCCCACACCTCTGGCCTGTACCCACATTCTTGCATAAATAAATAAATCTTAAAAAAAAAAAGAAATTACAATAAAAGCTACTAGTAGGTTGATTAGCCCATGAAGATTTGGGAAGTTATCACACCTGTACTGGACACAAGGTCTATACTATTCCCCCATACCTTGCCCTACACATCTCGTTATTTATTCCTGAGTTATATCCTTCATGAAAAATCACTGATCTATCTGATTTTACAAAACTGATCTAATTTGTGATGGAACTGGTGTGGCAGGTAAAAATTGTAGCTTACATATTCAGGTATATTGGAGAGTTTAGTTTCATTTCAATAAAAAAATCTATAAAAAATATAAACTATAGGCTCCTATAGACTGCAGAGAGCAGTGGAATAGCTTGGGCAAGTGGCCCAGATGTAGTAGCCCCCCACCACCAAACCTCAGGGAAGGAGCAGCAAGCAACCTTCATGCAGTAGGCCCATGCAGAACCCTAGGCAAGTAGCATGGACACAGTAGTCTCCCAGTAAATATCAGGGTAGGGCCAGTAAGAAGCCCTAATGTAGCAGACATTGGAAAGGAGTGGAGTAGACCCCATCAAAGAGCACTGATGAAGAAGACCTCAGCAGAAGCAAAGGCAGGGCCTGGTCACCACTGGATGTGACTCTTGGAGCTACAAGTGAGAGGGTGACTGGTCATGGAGAGAGTCTCATGGGTTGGGGTGGGACTTGACTGTTCTGTAGACAGTGGAGATCTGTGCAAATACTGAAGCTACAACAAAGAGGAGGTGGGTAGAGAGAGGAACCTGGGAGTTGTGGTCTGGAGCAGGGACATTGGTGACAGGGCTGTGGGCTCAGCCTGCAGCACTGGGAAGAGATTGTATGGAGGCACAAACTTTTTTTTTTTTTACAATTTTTTATTTTTATATTCCCCATACAATTGCACCCCCCTTATTTTGACCCCCAATTCCTTCTTTCCCCACCCTCCCCCCTCATAGTGTGTCTCTGGTTTATAGTTGTTTGTTGATTTTGATTTTTTCTTTTTGATAGTTATTCTTTATCCTGGTCCCTTATTTAGGTTTTCTATATTCCTGCTATGAGTGAGTTTACCCGGTATTTTTTCTTTTGCTTTCTGGCTTATTTCGCTGAGCATATCCCTTCCAGCTCCATCCATGTTGCTGCAAATTGCATGAGTTTATCTTTTTTGAATGCTGAGTAATATTCCATGGTATATATGTACCACATCTTCCTGATGCAGTCATCTATTTTTGGGCATTTGGGCTGTTTCCAAAGCTTAGCTATTGTAAATAGTGCTGCTATAAACATAGGGGTGCAGGTGCCCTTTGGAATTAACATTTCTGTGTCATTTGGGTAAATACCTAGGAGTGGAATTGCTGGATCATATGGAAGCTCTATCTTTAGTAGGTTGAGGAATCTCCACACAGCTCTCCATAGTGGTTGGACCAGTTTGCACTCCCACCAGCAGTGCAGGAGAGTTCCTTTTTGTGCACATCCTTGCCAGCATTTCTGGTTGTTAGTTTTCTTAGTATGGGAGGCACAAACCTTTCAAAGAGGAAAAAAATATTGTGAGGATCTGTGGTGCACCACAATGACTGGTTTTCCCATAAAGACAATAATAGAACAGGCATTCTGAACTGCAGTCTCCCTTCTAAACTCTGGGATTTGATGCTTATTTTGTGAACTTTTGAGGCACACAGAGAGCACAGAGACTGCCAAATCTCTCATTCCAAACAGCAGGAAGGCAGATAACCAGGATGACACAAACATGAGGCAGTTCTAGCCCAACTCGTCAATGCCAACATCTGGACCTCCCCAAGTCCCATCCCCATTCTGCTGACTCACAAATTACAAAACAGATCTGAGTACATACAGCAGCAAACAGAAACAAACAAATAAATTAATATTGCAACAAAAACTGTGGAGAAAGTAAAAGAGGCTAACCACCTAGGGTACTACTAATGAAGTTAAATATAATAAGGATAATGGGCAGACAAAAAAAATAATGATTCATGGAACTATGAGATCTCAAGAGAGTATGACATCACAAGGTGAGAACAACTCTTCAGAATCCAAAAACAAAAAACATGGGAGATTACATCTACCAATCAGATAGATGTATAATGATATAATGTATAATGCTATAATGAACTCAAAAGAAAGCTGTGAAAGGCAGTCAAAGCAGTTCAAGAGGACTCATAAAAGCTTAAGAGATAAAGCAAAATCCATTAAAAAAAAATGAATGAGCTCAGAAATAAAATCAAGAAACAGAAGGTAGAAATTGAAGTTTTAAATAAGAAAATGATTCAGGAGATAAAGGACCCAACAAATGAGATGAAAAGCTATAGAGCACTCTGGGCCCACCATACAAGGAGATGCCACAAGGACCCAGCCAACCCCAAGGCCAACCTGGGCCAGCAATCCCCATACCTGCCAGTAAGAACCCTGGACCGGCATGAGGGTAGAGACATGCCCAGTGGAATCCTCAGTCACAGCAGGATGGCCCTGAAAGGAAAGAATGGGGAGGCAGGAAAATAAAACACAAGGCCACATGAGACCTCAGGAAATACTATACTATGGAAAGAAAACAAATCTTTAGAACCTAATCACAAACACATGGAAGACCTGTTCTTCTGATTGATACAAAATTCAAACTTGCCATGATAAAGAAATTCAAAGAACACAGAGAAAACATAGAAAAGTGAATCAAAGATAGACAAGAAAATCCAGATAAAAGCAAGTGAATGTCCTGAGAAACAATATCAATGCACATAAGATCAAAAATGATACTCTAATAAAAAATGGTAGCACTGCAGGATGTCAAAATATCAACACAGGAATTGAAAAGTACTGTAGAAAGCAATAGGAAGGCAAATAAACAAAAAGGGAGAGCAAATCAGAGAATGTGAAGATACAAACACACAAGGAAACAATGTAAAAGAAAAAGAGAAACAGAGGCCTCCCTGGTGATGCAAGGGGTTAAGACACAGCACTATGAAGCTATCCGCAACCACTGTAGCACGAGTTCAATCCCTGGCCAGGGAGTTAACCCACATGGCACAGCAGACCTCTCCTGAATAGCCCGTTTGGCTCCCCTCAGCAGTGTTTTTCAGTCAGTCTGCCTGTTCTGCTCCCTACTCTGTCTCTGGTGAATCCTCTCATGCCCCACACCTCTGGCCTGTACCCCAGTTCTTGTATGCATAAATAAATAAATCTTTAAAAAAAGAAAAGAAAAAGAGAAACAAAATAAAAATTTAAAAAAGAATAAGAAACACTTTGTGACTATATATACCATAAGGAAATGCAATATAAGAAGGGGAAGAGAGACAGACAGAGGATATAGTTAAAGAAATAACAGAACCAAGCATCCCAAACTTGTAAAAGGAAATAAATATACTAATCAAGGAAGCTGAAAGAGCAAAATGAGAACAACACGAAGACATACAGTGGAGAAACTTCCAAAAGTTCAAGCCAAAGAAAAAATATTGATGTTGGCAAGGGGAAAGAAGCAGATATCTTGTAAAGGAACCCAGGCAAACATTAGACTCCTGAGAAGAAATACTTCAGGAAAGTAGAAAATGAAGCAAGGAGATCAAAATATTGCCAACGTTGTCAAAATGGCTATCTTACCCATAGCAATTTATAGATTCAATGCAATCCCATTAAAAATTTTAATGCATTCCTCAATGAAATGGATCAAACATCACTGAAATTCACGTGGAAACAGAAAAGACCTTAAAAAGACAAGCTCTCCTGACCAAAAAAAGAGAAAGGGAGAGAAACAGTGTGTTACAGTTTTAGACTTCAAACTACACTCTAAAACCATAATAATTAAAATACCATGGCACTGGAACAAAAAAAACCACATAGACCAGT